TATAAGAATAAGTCGAAAAAAAAGTAATTTGTTTAGAACATTGTAATTATAAACAAATGAACACATAAAAAGTACGTAAAACCCACACGATATTAAGTGACTGTTTGATCAAAACCGCAGTTCTTGAGAGAAGTCTATTTGGGCAATGTCTCAAATCGAACAACCCAAAGGTTAACCGACCATAAAAACATATATTTATTTATTATGATATATTTTTTATTATAAACTATATTCTATAGCTAAACTAAATTTCTCATGTTTTGAACTATATTTATCATTGTTGTGTATTATTATGTGTTTTTTTATTATTAAACTATTTTCTATATTATATAACTGAGATACGCTTATGTATTTCTTGCGTAATCATGACCCAGAGCTACAGAAGTCTACATCTGGCTCTGGTACTTCCACCCAGGTGCAGCAGCGTACTATACAGAATCAACTAAATATAAGTCTACATACCCTCATCAGAAGTACATCACTAACAAACTCGTCAATTTTATTGCCAGTACACCACAACCCTTCTCGGTGGTTGAGTCAAAACATTCCCTGTTGCATGATCTAAAGGCAGCCATGGATTCTCGATACATTCTTCCCTGTTGCATGATCTAAAGGCAGTCATAGATTCTCGATACATTCTTCCCTGTTGCATGATCTAAAGGCAGTCATAGATTCTCGATACATTCTTCCCTGTTGCATGATCTAAAGGCAGTCATAGATTCTCGATACATTCTTCCCTGTTGCAAGCACCTGTCCACAATGTTGATCGACAACAGGTTTGATGAAGTCAAACAAAAAGTCATTTCCCTAATGCAACTTTTCCCCAACACCTATCTCACTGTGGATATCTGGAGTAGAAAACAAATGGGCAGCTTTCTTGGAGTCACTGGTCATTTTATACTTGACTGAAAAATCCAAACAGTCATGCTGGCATGTCGGCGTTTCAAGGGGCGTCACACATCTGACACCATTGCATTCCTGAAAAAAGCAACCCTGTAGATTATTGGAAGATCCATGAAAAACTTTTTCATCTCTATCTATACTAGACAAACGCTACCTGGATGTTCCAGCATCCTCTTCCTCCGTTTGAGCGTTTGTTTAGCATCGGAGGCAAAACCCTCAGACCTGATCTGCCGCCTCACTGACAAAACATTTGAGAGGCTGATGTTCACAAAGAACAATGGACAGTTGTAACATATATATATATATATATATATATATATATATAGTTTGCTTGTAAAAAATATATTTTTCTTCTAAACTTTGTTATTGCATTTTAAAAAATAAAAGTATTGAAATGTTACTATTTGTTTAAATTTTGTTTGTTTTAGTTTGTAAAACCTCTGTTTCATAAAATAAAAATATTCAAATATTATCGTCTGCTGTTTTATCATCATTGCATATTATTGACAAATTACTCATGAATATATTTTTAATACATTTCTGCGTATTTATATTTCTATTCGATTACCGATCTCAAGTATTCGCCCCATTCCTCCAATAACATCAGTATTGTTCTATACCATGGATTATAAGTGGTAACCAACATATCTACAATTAGTTACGGACGGTGGATGTAAGGTTTGAGTACCACTGTCTCCTGTAAGTGTTTTTATTGATTATTTATCATCCTCCATCGGGGTAGCGGTAAGTTTACGGACTTGCAGCTATGGTTGAAAGAGCGCAGATATTCAATTGTGTAGGTTTGTGCTAAAACAACAGATATTCTATTGTGTAGGTTTGTGCTAAAACAATAGATATTCTATTGTGTAGGTTTGTGCTAAAACAATAGATATTCTATTGTGTAGATTTGTGCTAAACAAAAAAGTGACGATTATATGTCGTGTTTATAATGATTTATCACAAGCGCTTTTGTATAGACGGTATTACGATCGTTCACTGGAAGTAATGCTACAGTTATTGTAAATACCTGGAGGTACAGGGTATTCCCATCGTTCACTGGGAAGTCTGCCTCAGTTATTGTAAATAACTGGAGAGACAAGGTATTACCATCGTTCACTGGGAAGTCTGCCTCAGTTGTTGTAAATAACTGGAGAGACAAGGTATTACCATCGTTCACTGGGAAGTCTGCCTCAGTTGTTGTAAATAACTGGAGAGACAAGGTATTTCCATCGTTCACTGGGACCTTTTGTTATTTGGACACCTAATACAACTTTACTAATTTTTGTTGAAGCACGAATTTGTTATAAATACTCTTATCCCTGATTAAATTCAATTGAAAGGACGGCAACTGCCTGTTGTAGAAATATAAGTGTTTTTATATTTATGTTTGTATATATTTTTATTGCTTCGTGTATTTGAAGAGTTGTGAAGTC